AAATTTATTAATTCCGGCCTATTCCGACCCAAATTCGGGCCGATTTGCTGAATTTTGGTGGACCCTCTAATCTACTCCGCATTAAAGGACCCCTAAATTAGCCAATTGCATCACATAAAAATCTCAATTATACCGATTTGATAAAGGACTATACATATGTTTGATTTAGTATGTTGACCAAACACCCCAACAAATGCTCAATGTTTCATGCGTCTAGCATCATATGACAAATCACTCAATAACGTGCCAACTCAAAATTTACTATATACATAACAATACGTACAAAAAAGTAAGAATTATACAATACGAGCAATATAGAAAAATTTAGTGGTTCGAGCACGTTATACAAATTTAGGACACCAGTCAGTCGACATATGCTCTATTCAGCAGTTCATTATATTACATAGGTCATGAACGCCCCATTTGGCTCTCCGGTTAAGATCAATTTAACAAACTTTAATTAATATATACATATTTAACCTAATATTGGGTATATCTCCAGTTTACCAATTGTTCATTCGTGAGACTACACGTTGATATTTCCCCAGAAAATATGTAATAGGGTCACGGCGTCTCCGTGGCACAATGCGAGTACGTAGATCATTCATTCATTATGATAAATATACGTACTTACCAAACTTTATTCGATACGATAATGTAACTATTGCGTATATATCAATTTTCATATAAAATCCCAAATTCCTGTATGAGAAATTATAAATCAACTTTTCAATGAATCAATGCTTTTGTTTGCGGGTTTTGCAAGAGTAGCACAACTTAAACGGTCACTGGCAGCATTGGTTTCTGCTACTTCGATAGCTCTGCTTCAAACTAAACAACGACTAAGCTTGGTTGGAATATTTGGTAACTTTGATCTTCTTCGATCGGTAGATAATTCCGAAAATGGCAAGTTTGCGAAAAGAGTAGCGGTAGAAATGCCAGTAAGGCCAAACTACCGTGCTCCGAGGTTACCGATTGTTTTGTGCCACGGTATTTGAACGAAATCTTTTTTAATATTTCAAATAGACTAGTCACTTTTCTAATTCAATTTTTTTCTTAGGCCTTTTTGGCTTCGATAAACTAGGTATTGTATCACTCTTTGTATTACTCTCATCAATCAACTTTTTTTTTTGATTTGTCAACTAATTTCAATTATAATTATTATAATTGTTATATGTTAAGGGCCTTCTTCTATTCCATATTTACAAATACACTATTGGGGTGGTATTGAGTTAGCTTTGCAAAAATTAGGTGCGAAAGTTATAATTACCAAGGTTCCAAGGTATATTGTTCTTCATTTGCCATTTCACATTAAACATACATCATAAGATGCTAATCCTTTATTATATACGTATTAATCAATTACTGGATAATTATTGTGTAAAGAACCGGTTGCATTAAGTCTCGTGCCCAAGCTCTGCATCGCACTCTAGAATCAATCTTATCAGGAAATAATGT